AAATCTTGAGTGAGGCCAGCCGTGAACGTGATACTCCTTCAGTACTTGGTGCTCCAAATGCTGACTGCCCACCTCCGCCTGGTAAAACTTTGATATTCTTTGACGTTACAATATTATCAGCAAGGAGAGGGAACATGGGAGTCAAGACGGGCGTGAGGGAGGGGGGAGACGTTATTGCAGTAGACAAACATATTTTTGAAGAGGTCTTTCCTAGCAGACTAGAAAGCTTCAAAATAACGTCATACCTTTTTTGATCAATTCCGTCTTCTTTCCTTAAAGTTTGGAAGTTTGCAGCTTAGTAACTTCGGTTCTGGGAATGCTAAAATACATTGGTTTCACGTGTTTCATTTTGTCATAATCGAAGAAAAAACTTCCAGCTCCTCTGCATTGCGAAGGATCAATTCGTCGTTTGCAACACGCATTCCAGTCATCTGCAGGAAGCAGCGGTGGTTCTTCATCCAGTTTGGAACAACTGCCATTTGCCAATGAGAATTGTGGAACAATCAAGTTAGTTGCGCTATATTTTGTAAAAATTTAACCGTATTATCAATTTTTATAGATCTAGAGATAATACAGCAAGAAAATCTTCAAGTATTTCACAACCGCAAACGCCTCGAAAGACACTGCCAATGACGATTCCCGATTGCTCAGCATCTAGCTGGTTGGTTTTCTTTTTTCAAGACTTCACTTAAAAGTCCTTTACCTATCCGTTTTCAAGAACAACGCTAGGACTGTGCTGTTTCAGAACTTTAAAATGTTCTTCTGAAATAAGTGACAAGGAACAGGCATACTTATTGAATCGCGATGCTAATTGAAGTCGGCATTATAAGCGGTATTGGAATAACCTAAACGTACATTAAAACTCCACACTGTCTGCGATACTAAAAATTATGAGTTTCTACTAGTTCCTGAAAGTTAGATCTATTTAAATATTTACTTGTCGAAACGCACAGTTATTCGTAGTTTAGATCACGGTTACTTCAGTAGAAGGTGTTCATAGTGGGTAAAAGTGCGAATTA